CGTGGCAAAATCTCATTGTTTCTTCTCCCCTAGAAAGCAAGCAAAAGCATGAAATAAATGTCACCTCTTATGTGTTCCTGCTTTGTATGTCCTCCAGAAATAAGCATCTGGAACAGTCGTGAATATCTTGGTAAGGAATAGAGGGAGCCACCTGTGTTAGTTAACGTTCAACAGAGAAACAGAACCAACAATATGAATATACTACTATACAAGGAAAAGGATTTATTTTAAGGAATCTTCTCCTGCAGTTATGTAGGCTGAGAAGCCCATGAAGCTGGAGATCCAGGAAAGCCAATAGTTCCAGTACATAAGCTGTCAGGCGTGAGACCCAAGAAGAGCTGATGTCTGAAGGCAGGAAAAGATGAATGTCCCAGATCAACAGTCACGCTGAGAGTGTTTCCTCGTTCTCTCTCAAAGATCAGTGTTGATGTTCTATTCGGGCCTTTCACTAGTTGGATGAGGCTCACCCATATTAGAGAGGGCTGTCTGCTCCACTGCGTATTCCAATTCAAGCCTTAATTTCACCCCAAATACCCTCACAGACACATCAAGAAGGCTATTGGATCAAATATCTGGGCACCATGTGGCCCAGTCATGTAGACATAAAATTAATTGCCCTGCCATGTCTAGATTTTTTAAGGGTTAATTAGAAAGCATCCAGGGACATTCGACAAACCTGATTATTAAATTGGTAGCTCACCAAGGCTCATGGGAGGGTTATTGTTTGTTTGTTTATTTGTTTTTTAATTTTTTTAATTTATGGGGGTCACATTGGTAAGGTTGTAAGTCTGTGATTCTATAATATGTTATCTGTGTATTGCAATGTGTGTTCATCTCCCAAAGTCAAAGCTCTTTCTGTTACCATATATTTAACCCCTTTATCTTTTACTACCTCCTGCCCACACCACGTCTCCTCTGGTAACGATTATACTTTTGTCTGTGTCTGTGAGTTTTTGCTTGTGTGTTCTTGTGTTGCTTTCAGTTTCATATCCCACAAATGAGTGAAATCATATGGTTCCTGTCTCTTTCCATCTGACTTATTTTGCTTAGAATAATATTCTCAAGATCCCTCTCTCTTGTTGCAAATGACAATATTTTATCACTTTCATGGCTTATTAGTATTTCATTGTATATATTTACCACATTTTCCTTATCCAGTCCCCTACCAAAGGATACTTCCATTGTTTTCAGGTATTGACCACCTTGAATAATGCTGCAATGAATAATACTACATTTATCTTGATGGCTCATATTTAACTCTTATCTCAATTTTTTTTGAGAAATCTTCATATTGTTTTCATAGTGGCTATACCAGTTTACATTCCCACCAGCAGTGAATGAGAATTTTTTTTTTCACAATCTCTCCAACAATTGTTATTACATGTCTTGCTGATAATAACCATTCTAACAGGTGTGAGGTGGTATCTCATTATAAGTTGTTTTTTTTTTTAAATCCTCATCCAAGGTTATCTCTTTATTCATTTGAGAGAGAGAGAAAGGGGGTGTAGAGAGAGAGAGAGAAAGAGAGAGAGAACTACTGATATAAAAGAGAAACATAGATTGATTATCTCCATACACATCCCAACTGGGAATTGAACCTGCAATTTAGGTATATGCCATGACTAGGAATCAAATCCACAACTTTGGTGTCCAGGATAACAATTCAAATGACTAAGCCACCTGGCCAGGCTCATGGTAGTTTTGATTTGCATTTCCCTAATAACTAGTGAAGCTGAGAATCTTTTCAGATATCTGTTGGTCATATGTGTCTCTTCTTGGAAGAAGTGTCTATTCAGGACCTCTGCCCATTTTTTAAATGAATTGTTTGTTTTCTTATTGTTAAATTGTTTATATTTTTTGCATATTAATCCTTTATTGAAGGTGTTGTTTGCAAATATCTTCTCCCATTCGTTTCGTTGCATTTTTTGTTTTGTTGATGATTTCCTTTGCTGGGTAGAAGATATTGCCCCACTCACTTATTCTTGCTTTTACTTTCCTTGCCTTTGAAGTTAAATTAATAAAATCCTCTCTAAGACCAAGGTCCATATATTACCTATGTTTTCTTCCATGTAATTTATTGTTTCAGGGTTTATAGTTAGGTCTTTGATCTATTTTGAGTTAATTTTTGTTTAGGTGACAAATAGCTGTCTAGTTTCATTTTTTTGCATGTGGCTTTTCAATTTCCCCAGCACCATTTATTAAAGAGACTTTCTTTTCTCATTTTATGTTTTCGGCTCCTTTGTCAAAAAATATTTGCTCATATACATGTGAGTTTATTTCTGAGCTCTCAATTCTGTTTCATTGGCCTATTTTTCCTGCCAATACTATGCTGTTTTTATTATTGTCACTTTGTAATATAACTTGAAGTCAGGGAGAATGATACCTTTCACTTTATTCTTTGAGAATCATGTTTATTGTAAGCTTCACAATTCCATAGACATTCTGGACAATATTTCAATATCATTGAGATATTGCTAATGACCTGCTTTGGTAATTTTTGACACTTGCAGAATTGATAGTTAATTCATCATTATGATTCAGACTATATGTTCTGGAGGTTTAGAGCATATTCTACCCTGTTTCCTCAAAAATAGGACAGTGTCTTATATTAAGTTTTTCTCCCAAAGTTGCGCTAGGTCTTATTTTCAGGGGATGTCTTATCTTTCCATGCACTAGGTCTTATTTTCGGAGGATGTCTTATTTTCGGGGAAACACGGTAGAAAGCCAGGCTGCCTGGCCTTAAATCCTAGACCTGCCTTTTAAGAGCTTGTAACCTTAAGCATCTAGTTTAAATTATTTGCCTCTCTATTTGAAATTGTAAAATGAGGTAACAATACCTAAATCATGGTTTTTATGAAGATTGAATCAGATAATATGCATTAGTGAATGTAAAGAGACAGATGATGGGGATATAGAATCTATTCAATAAAATAGTTATGCCTAAAGCAACTTAAATTTTATTCTAAAATGCTGTTTCAGCCTTGGCTCAATATTACTTAAGCACTGGTACTTTGTGAGTAAAGAGTCCTTATCAAGAGCAGTATATTGAATATGCTTAATTAGCATACATTTTGGATAGACTAAAACCAAAACTCCAAAGCCTTCATTGGCTTGAAAACAACTCCAGATTTAGCAAATGAGTTAGAGAAGATGAAATAGAAAGTAACACATTTATAGAATGTGCACAGGCAGTGGAGTATTTGATTCACTTCACTACTTCTGTGCAATTTAGTTTGTTATCGTCAGAGAAACTGTCCATATTTTAAATGGTTCTTTGGCATCTTAGCTTTAAAAACATTTGCAAACAAACCAACAGTGGGCGGGGGTGGAGAAATGCTAAGTGATGCTTTGTCAGGACTTGAGTTGTCAGGAATAACTGGAGGATTGACTGGGGCCAAGACTGTCTTTGGGTTGAAGGTGATCGATCACCTGACTGATGGAAAAGCAGCTTTGGGTAAGTCCCTGGGACTCAGGGCTCTTGAGCCAGATGACAAAGCCCCCAAAATGTCCAGCTGGTCTTTTCTACTTCTTATTTGCCTTACCAGCCACATCATTCCGTTAGTGGTGTCCTATCTGGTTAGGTAAGTTTGTTGGCATAACATGAGATCTATTTGCAGGGTGATGGGTGAAGAAATGTTTAGTGCTTTGAACTTAACTTTGTGAGTGCTTCAGTGTCCTTGGGGCGGTCTTGATTCACACAGCTGATGTTGATTTGACTCTCCAGGCACCCACTGCTGCTGATTGCAGGTCACAGGCTTTGGTGTGTCCCCAAAGAGTTTGTGCAACCCTCTTGGGCTACTAGCTGATAGGTGATGAAATGCAACATCTAAATAACACATTTTTTTTTTAATTTTGATGGCATATAACATGTCTATTTTACTTTGTGTTTGCACCTCCATCAATTATACTTTTTCTGCCTAAAAAGTAATTATTCAGATTTTCACGTTCCCATGTCTGAAATTAGTCTGCCTGTGAAAGTATTTTTTGCTTTGAAGCTGGCTGTATTAGTCCATTTGATTAATTCCTTGGGAATTTTTTTCCTTTAAAGAAAAAAAAAAAAAGGAATGCCTTGCCTATTTATCAAGTGACTAAAGATAGCTGAGGATTAAGTCTGAATAGAGTGATTACTGCTTTCAAAAACCAAATAATGGAAAGTATTTTGTTGTTACTGCTCTTGCTTGAACTGTTGCCTCATCCTGCAATTGCCCCGCCTGGTGAATTTCCAACTCCCATCTTGTTCCTAACTTGTAACCTTGTGTATGAGTTTCTGTGCATTCGTAATACTTATTTATTCTGCCTTTGAAAAACTTCTGAGAGGGAAATTTAAGAATCAAGCCTGCATATTTTTATTGTTATTATTATTATTCTTAGCTATGGATGTAGCAGCGCATGCTTTTTTTCAAATATTATTATCGAGTTAAAATTTTTAATCATAAAGCTATTGTAATGAAGCCAGTGTTAGTCTATTATGAAAACTCTGCACTTTTTCTTTTTTTGAGAACTAAACCCAGAATGCATTGAGCTGTGCCTTAGTTTATTTTCCATTATCTTTCCACTCCCCACCCTCCCGAAATCATGCCATTCATTTAATACTTCATTACAACTGAACTGCAATATGTATACAGGGTATGCAAAATGAGCCATTCTGTTTTAAAACAGATTGCAGATGAAAGGAAACCATTCATTTCTTGCTTGCTTGCTGTAATTACTAGAGCACTAATTACTCCAAATCACTGACATCCAGGGTCAGGAAGATGACAACAGAAACATCAAAGAAAAAGATGTGGCTCACTCACGAGGACAGCTTTTCCATATTCCCAACCACAGTATTTTTTTTTTTCTCCTTTTTTTTCTTTTCCTTTTACGGCTACTGTTTACCACTGTAGCTTGGAGTTTCCAGTTTGATGGTGAAAAACAAACAAACAAACAAACAAACAAACAAACAGAAAGCCCCGCGCACAGTTGAGATTGCTGAATGTTTACTATTATTTCATTCGCAGTTTGACGGTGAGAACATGTATATGAGCATGACAGAGCCGAGCCAGGACTACGTGCCAGCCAGCCAGGTGGGTTAATTAATCTTCTCTGCCTTGTTTCAAATTGTAATTAAACAAATTCAAAGAGTTGCATTGCAAATGAGTAGCACTATCAGTAACTGCCGCAATCAGGAATAATCATAATTTATAAACAAAGCATTTAAGCCTTGTTTCCAGTTAATGAGATAGAGCTGATAAAACACCGGAGTTGGCATTTGTTGAAAGATACTACCTTGTTTCCCCTCCAGAATGGCAAGCAGCTGTTTTGCCAGCATGATCTTCCCTAAACAGTTGTTTTACCTTTAGGAAATAAAGTCTTTACAGGTGCAGGTTATTTGTGCTTCTGACTAGAGACAAGTTAATCATTTTAAGCTACACATGCCACAAATAGCTTTAATTATCCACTGTTGGGGCAGTTTTCAAGAAAAGGGTATGTTTATAACCAACATCGCGTGGCCGATGAGCTCTAGATGGCTGCTTTCAGAATCTACGGGGTGGGTAGCTTTCAAGCCAAAATGCATGATATGATTGAAATCTTTCAAGGGCACGTTTGTATCCATTTCACTGGGAATGGTTGACACGGTATTTAATCATGAGAAGTGACAACAAAAGTCCAAAGAAAATGTAAATGGATACATTTATAAAAGTCAGTGCTTGGCTATTTATTTTTAGATACTTAAGACCAGGCCCTTCAGTCCAGTAAGGGCATTTAAAGCAAAAATTATAACTGCCCTAGAGTGCCAGTATAACATACTGTGTAAGAACACAGTAAGCAAATATAAATGAATGACACAAGACGCGAGGGGGAAGAGGGAAGGAGGGCATGTACTGGGGCCTGGCGGGTAGGGGAGGTCCCGGGGAATGTCGATGAGGAGAGAACTGAGACATATGTACTACTATTTGTAATACTTTAAACAATAAAATAAAATTTAAGATGACCTGGATCTTATAAATCCTATAAAAGATTCCAGATCATGTCCCAATACATGGGGGGGGGGGGGGGGGGAAGATAACTAAAATAAATGAATGAAAGTGAGGGTGAGTTCATAAGAGCATTGGGGGCACTTGAACATATTTTTTTCCTAGAAGACTGTAAAACCATGGTAGCTTGGAGTTTCCTGTAACAATGACTATGGTGAAAACTGTCGTTTCCACTACCTCTACATAACTACCCAAATAGATTTGTTAACTGGGAGGGGTGGGGGCAGAGGAGATTAGAAAACTTCTATTGTTCTTCTTGGCAGTTGTCAGTGAATGAAATCTAATGTATATATAAAGGGTGCCCTCTGTGGGGCTTTGAAATTGCCCTAAGAACAAAATGCCTTGTGTTTAACTCAAAACAGAGGCAGGCCTGCCTCTCCGTGAACTTTGCATTTAGAAGTCATTATGATCACTGCCTCCTCTGGCAGACAATTCTAGAAACCACACTATATTGTTCGGAGGAGAAGGTCATGGTGAAGTTCAAAGATCCAGACAACATTTCCTTCCATTCAACGGAGTTGATCATGCTCAGAATACCTCTGGAAGGCCGAGCTTTGCATTTAAAATTCTTACTGAACTGAATTCATGCGGCTAAGTAGCCTCCCAGATCCATAGGTGGTTCCAGAATAGGACTGTTTGATTAAAAAATGAAAAATGTTACTATTAATTTTCTTCTAACCATCAATCCCAAAACTGTACTGACAAGTTTAGTATTACTATTAGATTAGAGCAGCCCAGTATCATCTCGCTGGTGCCTTTAGGGTTTTGAAGTGTAGGGGCTAATTGAATTTGTTTGAAACAGTAGAAACACAAACTCAATAAATGATTGCAGTTATAAAGCAGCTGCTCCCTCTCAGAGAATCATTATGTCCTTCTTAAAGACTTTTGGATAAAGGATTAGAAATTCAATGCATATACATCACAATAGCTTGGGTCCTAAGATTTTTTTAAATTTAAGTACAACAGATAATAGTAAGCCCTGACTAAAAGCAAATAGCTAACAATATTTTTCTTAACATTTCAGTCAGGAGTTACCAAGAATATAAAAATGTATGAAAGAGTAAAGAGCTCCAAATATGTTGTCTTTGTAAGATATGGCAGGTTTGTGTGCCAGAACCAAACTATTTTCTAATAACAGAGCATATCTGAAAACATTTTTAGAATGTACTGCTTTTAAAAAAATAGACTAATATAAAATAATACATTCTCTGGAGGTAGGGAGGGGGATAAATCTTGCAAATTACATAAATTCAATGGCCTTTGCTAAATTTTGCACTTAACATTTCTTTTGTTGACTGTAATATAGTGTGTTCAAGAATCCGTTACCTGGTATTCTTTTAGGGACTTTTAATCAATTTACCCCTTTCAGCAACCATAAATAAAATTTTAGTCATCCTGCAGGGGGAAAAAAAAAAATTTTTGTTCTTTTTTCCTACATAACATCAAACATCTGCATAGTTTAGTAATCCAAGACAACTCACCTCATAGCATCACTCAACAATTATAATTCCTGTTCAATTTTCAAATCAGTACATGCTCTGGGACTTACAGACTAAGTTGCTAAGTAGGAACATATGGTGCACTACTGCTCCTGTGATGTTGCTGCAAGCAAATAGCATAATTCTAAACTTGAAATGATTTTTATAGAAAGCCAATGCTGGAATAGCTCCAGCAATGGAAGCACACTGTAAAAATTAATGATATTCTTTTAGACATATCCCAAAGGGCTCTTTGGCGCTATCTACTGCATGCATTCTATACCTCTTGAGTGGGTATGGAATCCTTAAAATATTTTGCATATAATTTTGTATTAATAGGCAGCTTTTAAATTGACTATACCACCACATAATAAGCCTGACAAGTATGTAATAAAAGCTCATGACATTTCCACTCTTCTCTGGTTCCATTCTTGGAATATTGGCTATTTTCTCCTCTAATGGCTAAAGTGGGCTGGCCACTCAGTGCTTTAATTCAAACACCATTTTAAAAAGTTCTTACTCTGGATAGAACTTGAACCATGCAGTGCCAGATTTCTTTGTGTCTTTCCAGACCCTGACTAAGAGGACCCACATTGCTCCACACCTCATGAAATCGCAGGCTCCCTCCTGCAGAGTTTGTGGGGAAGAGTGAGTGGCTAATGAAAGGAAAGCCAACTGAAGAGAGGCTAATTCACTCCCTTCTTATCCCTAACCTGTCATATTTGATTGACCATGTGCCAGAATACATAACAATGAGGCAGAGAGGGTGGGCTTCTCCCCTAAACTCCAACTCTTCTCCACATTTCCCAGACCCTCTCAGATTCTCATGCGATGAGGTTCTTCTCTTTCCCTAAAAAATCCCAGGCCCTTTCTCCAGGCACTAGAATCATACAATAGTATCTTCTGTAGCCTCACCTGTGATTGCACTCAAGCTGTAAATGTTCATTTGAATTGCTTACATCAAAGGAAACAGAGGAGGAGTCTGGTATTTTTGTTTGTTTGTTGGTTGGTTGGTTGGTTGGTTGTTGTGCTTTGTTTTTTGTTTTTGTGTGTGTGTGTGTGTGTGTGTTGTGTGTGTGTGTGTGTGTGTGTGTGTGTGTCTTTTATCAGAACTTCCTAGGACACAAAGGTTGGTTACTTATGTTTGCTTTTGAATATGTGCCATTACTTTTTCTCATTCTTCTTCCTTCTCTAGCAGTCCCCAGAATATCATTTTCCATGGTCCCCAGAATATCATATTTCAAGTTTTTCGCATGCACTGGCAACCCATTTCACCACTTCTCTGACCCAGGAAGCCCTCTCCTTTATCCCTCCTTTGGGATCCTGTGGGAAAAAATTGTTGAAAAGGACTGGTCTTTTTATATAAGAGATAATTGCTTAATAGTGGGAATCAGAAGATTTTTCTGCTGTCAAGTCATGAAGAAGCTTTGATTACTTGATTGGAACATATTTCAATAAGTCACTTCCTTCTTGACCTTGGCCTCTATTTCACTAAACCATTTCCTTCTGTTTGGTTTCCATCCTTATTCTTTTGCTTTGTTCATTCCTTCCCTTCTTAGTTTCCTTTCTTCCTCCTTCTTTCCATGAACACTTAAGTATCCCTTCAGTATGAACTAAATTTTTCTTCTTAATTCTGAGCATCATAGCAAACTCAAAACATTAAATGTCCTGAACTGAGAAGCCCATTTTAGATGATTTTCAGGTTATGATCAGGTTTCTCTCTGCTTCTTTTCTCTTACCTCACTGAAATGTTCTCTTACCTGGGCCCTCAAATCTCAATGTTAAAAAATAACAATGATAAAATAGACAATATTATTTTTTCCCCTAGAATTACACATCTAACTGAGCATTGGACATGCATTTCAAATCACACATTTTGAATAGAATCTAGGGCAGCTCTCTCATGTGAGCTTGGGGTTTGATTTAACTTCACTGGACACCTGTCCCTAACAATAGCTCAGACTCAACATATCAATGCATCAAAATCAAAACTCATCATTTTCAGCCAACTCTCTCACACCCTATACTTCTTTTTCCTATATTGCCTGGAGTCATAACAGTTCACACCACCTACCGAATATCCCAAGACAGAAACTTGGACAGTCTCCCTTATCACTCAGCCCTGAGTTAATTGCAGATAGTGTTGATTCACCTTTTTGCATAACTTTTAAATCTGACTCCTCTTTTCCTTATACGTAATTACTGCTTGAGTTCTGGGCCCCACGGTTTCTCATTAACTCATCTCATCATATCCCACTTTTACCTTTCCATTTCTCCTCTCACTGTCTCTGAATGGTCCATGTTTCTTCCCTGCTCACACACCTCCATGCCTCTAGTATGTGTAGGTCGGAATCATCCAGGCACCTATTTGCCCCTCAGTGGCATGTAACATCCTAAAACTGGTACCGATTTCCTTTTCTTTGCCCACCTGATTATGAGCTTTGGAAGGTAGGACTCGCTCTTGTTTCTCTCTGGATCACCTGTGCTCTACAATAACACATCAGAGGTATGCAGCATTCTTTTGTTGAAAGATGAGTAAATTAATTCAAATATTTTGTGTACATTTTTAAA